GTCTACTGGCCAGTACAGCTACCACACAGGAGCACGATGAAGACATGAAGAGTAGAATGATGAACAGAAGAGCTAGAGGATTTATAGAGGCTGCAGAGAAAGACAAGCCAGAAGGCAAGGGAGGAAACAACAGGTTCTGTGGTATTTACAGAAGACGCCAAATCTTGGGGGTACAAGGGTCTTCAGCAGACACCCCCTCCCAGTCTCAAGGCATGCCAGTTTTCGTCAGTTAAATGTGTATAGGTGGTGTTAACAATAAAGTTCACAATAGAGTAAACTTCCACTCAGCCCTGTGGAAGTGTAGCCATTGTTGGTTTGTGGGTTGGTTGAGCAGCCTGTGCTGCCACTGCATCTAGATCTGTGGTTTTCTTCTGTAGATGCAGGCATCACAGCTCGTGCATTGTTGATGCTTGGCTTACAAGCCATCAGTACCCAGGAGGGACGTATCGTTAGACTGGTGCTGATGCTGACCAACAACCGTACAGGGGCTCCACTCGTCATATTTAAGGAACTGGAATGAGATTCGGTAAGGCGTGATGCATCAAGAATGGCAGACCTTCACTGGATAAATACTGACACATTGGGGACACCTGGGTAACTAGTCCAAAATACTGGGAAGTATCAGAGCTGAAGGCTTCACCACCAACAGCCTTTTCACTTATGAAGATCACAGGAAGACCTACATCCTGTGATCTTAGTGGATTCGACATCTCAGTGAGCTCTGTTAGATCAGCAGGTGTGTGACCTTTCAGTGACTCGTAACTCGCATTTTGGCCAATCGAAATATATAGGCCACTGATGCCACTGTGTCATTTAACGGTTTTAATGCTTGTAAGGTAGACATGGAAGTTGGGGAACACCCAGCATAGGACTGGGGGGGGGGGCTGAATTTGAAACAGTAATCTGGCTTTATGTCCTTGCTATTCATTTTTCGACCTAAAAGAAGATGAAGCTTAAGTGGAAAAAAAAAAGATTCCCATTGACCTTTAATAACCTGGCAATCCCACACCATGAACGAGGGCTGTAATGACTGAGTCTGTGTGGTTCAGCGCACAATGCATCTGAAACATGTTCCATCTTGAATTCTTATTTTCCTTTCACTGCACTGGTATATAACCACAAATTTTTTTTTAATAGGTCACCTTAAAACTTTGTCCACCTTATGAAGATCCTCCTGCCTTAAAAAAAAAAAAAAAGCAGTCGAATTGGTGTCTGGGTAAAATGTCGGCGGTGATTTTAGAGACTTGGGTTTTCCATTATTTTGAAAATGGAAATATTACATGGTTGAATTCTTGACAATTGAATATCGTTTTTGAAAAATGCGAGTTGCTCACATCCAGTAGAACACTGTGAGAAAGTTTCTGTCCAGTCAGTCCCATGATGACGGAAAATGATCTTGAAGCAAACAAAAAAATCTTAATTAAAGAATACATCTTAAAAGGTGGGTGGGGCATTGCTCTTTGGCTTAGGGATTACCATCCTGTGGCTAACAGACTTGTCATGTCATTGCTGGGCCCTAGAGCACAGCCCTAAATCCAAATTTCTCCAGGGACTGCTGTCTGATCTTTGTATGTCACATGGAACAAAATCCCCTGCTAAATATGTAAAATGATTCCTGCAAATTCCTGCAAACACAAATTTGTCAGTATTGTCACCAGGGTTTGAGTCTTTGCCACGGCTCCATGCGTGTGGAGCTTCCATGTTCTCCCCGTGTTGTCGTGGGGTTTCCTCCGGGTACTCCAGTTTCCCCCCCCCCCACAGTCCAAAAACAAGCTGAGGTCAAGCAGAGTTAACAAATTGCCCACTGGTGTGCCATGTGAGTGAATGGTGTGTCTGTGTGCCCTGCCATGAGTTGGCGCCCCATGCTGGGTTGTTCCGGGGGTAGGCGCTGGACCCCCCCCGCAACCCTGCAAATGGATGGACTATCCACAGCATCAACATTTCAAGCCGTTAATCATATACCCAAGAAAACAAGACAATGATAAATTTCTCAGTGAATTGCATGAGCTTGAAGGCCACATGGGCACGTACGATATAAATGCCTGGTACGATGCCAGGAAAAGACCCACAAGAAGGTTTGTCGTTTCTTGCAAAACATAAACAAGCTATTTTAACATGGTTAGCAAACTAATATCATATCATGTGATCATCTGATTTTGTTTAGGTGTCAGTTGTGGTGGACATGTGCCTGGATTAAGGTGTTACTCTTATGGACATGCTCCCCTGAAGCATGCAGATACCTGTGGTGAGTGTGAGTGATGATGTGACTTCACATGTTCGCTTCTCCAAAAGCTCCGGGCCCTGGGGCAGACTGGGGAAGGACTTATGTCTGACAGTCGTTGCCTGTTGACAGTCATGTGTTTTATTTTATGTCATGGAATCATGTCCCATTCGAGAACTCTGTTTGCAATAGACGAACACGGGTTCAGGTTCATGTGACCACAGGCCCCCTTGCTCAGTCTCACTTCCCTGTCAGCAGTCGTCTGACTCTTTGCTCTCATTCTGTGGCTGGTCCAATAAGAAGGCGGTTGCAGTGAAGGCTGTTCGTTTCGTGGCTTGGATGTTGTTTCACCCTTTTCCCTTCATTAGATGTTGATACAGATACAGTAACTGCTGATGGACGACAGTGGATGGGAAAGTCAGTTAACGTATTTGGGCCCCCGTAAGCTGCCAGTCTATTTTCAGTGTGGGGGTATTGGCACTTAGATGCTCGTGTGTGTGTGTGTGCGTGTATGCGTGTGCGTGTGTGTGCGTGTGCACGTGTGCGAGTGGGTTTACTTATCCTTATGGGGACACAATGTCCCCATAACGTGATAAATATCCATGTTTTTCCCTTATGGGGACCAGTTTCCTGGTCCCCATAAGGGAAAACTCTATTTTATAAAAATCGGTGACTGCTATGAAAAAAGTAAAAATGCAAAAACTCTTGTATTTTGTTTGGTTACTTAAGGTTATGGTTAGGGCTGGGTGGGGGTTAAGGCTGTCATAGTTAGCATTAGCATTTTTCCCATTGAAATGAATGAGCGGTCCCCATAAGGATATGTTTACCCTACATGTGCGTGTGTGTGTGTATGTGTGTGTGTGTGTAAATGCACCTGAGGTATAGCGCGTTTAAGACAGGCATCAGTTAACGGTCAATGAATAAGACCAGCCAGAAAAACTGGTTCCACAAAGCGAAGCAAGTCGTAGAAACCACTAATACCCGCAATCAAAAATAGATTGGACAGAAAAGCCTTGTTTTGCTGGCATACACACGTTCACAAACACACACACAAACACACATTCACAAACACACACACACACATTCACAAGCACACTCACGCACACATGAGCTCACACAAACGCAAACAGCCTATGTGCATCGGAACCCTTGCGGAAAAACCTTTTGCCAAGCAGTTTTAAAAATAGATGCAGCTCTGGAAAAAATTAAGAGACCACAGCAAAAAGAAACTTTGAACCTAGAAGCCTGCCTCGTAGTGTAGCCTTCTGCCCGCAGAACTAGGATTAAACTGGGAACTAAACATGCAGATTTTTAAAAAATATAGAGTGGTTTCTTAATTTTTTTCCAGAGCTGTTCATCACTCAATTTGGGAACATAATTATATGTGCTGGTATGGGGACCACAAAAAGGAAGAAGCTCTGAATAGCACAATTGCAAGATTTTGAGGCTTCCGCGTAAATCCTGCTTCTATTTTCACAGGGTGTGTTATTTTTTGAGGCACTAGGTGGCAGTGCAGCCAAACGTGCTGCCAGCTGCTGTAACTAGGAACCCAGCCAAATCGACCAGACTGTTTGTAAACTTCACAATAAAGACATTTGAAGGAAATGGATCAATGTAAAATGACAACGTGAACTTCAATAGAGTGCCCTTTAACAGGGTCTCCTGCTTCTTGTCCCTTGAACCAATCTGTACGTGTTCTTAGTCTCAGCCACTAATTAATTAGATTCAGCTGAGCTGTTTTGAGGTGGCAGTTTTGGTGCAGTCTGACATTTTGCTGACCCATTGTGAGGACCTGATGGAGCCTCGGTCACATCTCGCGCATGACTTTCACGATGACCTCCCGTTGGGTTAGCTTATTAGCCTAGCGACCTTGCTGCCAGGAGAAGCATGGTCGGCAGCTCTGTGTGGCGTGATGTGCCCGCGCCCTGGTGCATGCTGGGTATGGCGTTTCTCAGGTCTCTCTGTATCAGAAACCCGCCCTCTTGTTGCTTGTGCCAGCTTTTCGCTCTGCCGGCTGTCCCTTGAGATGAGACCCAAATTCTGCAAAAAGACGTTGATAGAAAACACATTTTTCGGTTTGATTTGTGTGTGAAAATATCACGATTGTAATCATAATAATCTTATTCCACGGTAAGTGGAGAGATGTTAAGAATGACAGTATGATCATTAAACGGACGCTTTTTTTCCAGAGAGCATATAATGGAAGCCTTTGGGAGGCTGTTAGGTGCAACTAGCACATCTCGTGCTCAGATACACTCATTAGCACACTAACAAGAAGGTGGCAGACTAATTACCCAAGGCAGAGAGACAGCTCCTGGGCCTTCACTTCACTCTGAGGGAAGGAGACGGGGCTAAAGGGCCCAGCGTTTGTAGTGGAGAAGTGCAGGGGAAGAAATGAGCTGAAGAGGATTAAGAATAATGCAAACAAAGCTGTGCTTTTCCAGTGTTTTAATGCCGGAAAGCACATTCACTACCATTAGCTCTGCTGATGACAGCGGCATGGTGCCCCGAGGACCCTCGGCTGGCCTCAGCATGCCCGATTTGTTCCTCCACTGTTTCTTATGATCAGCTATGATCAGCTGTCTCTCTGACCAGGTTTTAACCCAACTACGACAATGGAACGGTGCAGGAGAGATCACTGTTAGGGGTGCGTGTGGAAGGAGGAGGGATGCTGGAGAGAGGTGGATGAGGTGCCAGGGTTCTGTAGCTGTTCTCCCAAGCCCCGCCTCTTCCTTCTCCATAAGCACAGCCCTTCCTAGTGCCTTCCCCCTTTACCAGCGGGTGGGTGCAGATTCACCTGCCCGAGAGTCAGAAAGCGAGAGGATGACCTAGACTGTGAGTACATAGACAAACGGTGGTGAATGTGTAGCATCATACGTAATGTTATAACAGGTTGTAAATGTGGGGAGGTACTCTACAGGTAGATCTGTATTAATATAGTGATTTGAAGCGTATTTCTTCACCAGAACTTCAAAGTCTTATCAGTTACACCTGATGTATTTTTGATCGATTGATTGATTGATAGTTAGATTTATAGATTGTTTAAACTGCTGGCACAGAAAATTAGATGGTAATGTTGTGCATCTGCCTGCACTTTTACAAATGGCATTTAAATACAGGTGTGTGAGGTAACTGAGAGCTAATATTTGCTTTGATTTGTTTTGTGTGCTGGTTTGAGTCAATGCAAGCTGGGCTGACCCCTGCTTTGTTTCATTTGAGTGCGTTTCTGGAGCATGTAGTGGTTGGTTTGCTCAGGTCTCTACTGTCAGTATTATGAACAGGAACCTGAAATGGCTCAATTTTCGGCCCTGGCATTGTTGAGTTGAATATCTCCATTGTCACTGTTGACCTTATTGTCGTCATAGAAACGATTAAATGAGCTAAATTGATCAACAGTGGGAAACTATTTCAGCATTTCACCACCAGGAATCAGTTCTCTGATTCCTTCCTCACCAAAGGGCTAAAAAAATCAACCTGTGGTTTTTACATGTCTTAGGCAGGCCACAGTTTAACAAGCCACGGTGATTCTGTTAGTCTTGCATCAATGAGAGGTTCGACCACTGAGCTGTCATTGCCTTATGGGCTTTTAAAAACTGTTCTCAGAAAGAAATGAATGAGGGTGAAAGTCAGGCACCAGTAATCGAAACCAGCTGAAAGTCTCTGTTTGAGAAAGAGCTGCCAGTGTCCCAGGAAAGAGGAGACGGTGTGAGATCAGAAATGCAATGAGAACCTACTCAGGATTTACTCTGCCCTGTAGCCAAATGATAGAGTAGACTGGAAGTATTTTACTTCTATATTCAGAGGCATATTCAGGTTCAGAGAGTAAAAGTCCAGACCAAGATTTTGTTTCAACCAACCAGTTGAGTATAAATATTCACAGTCACAGAGTACTCAACTGATTGGTTGAAACAAAATCGTGGTCTGGATTTGTACTCTCTGGACCTGAAATCTCCACCTCTGTTTATATTTACATTGGTATTTAAACAGACGGAACAGGCAGCTAGGTGATTTGACATTAAAATTGCCCCCAAAGTATATGTGTGTTTATACGTGTCCTGTGACTTCCTGGATATTCCCCTTCTGTATGCAATGGGCTCTGGGATCTCAAGCGATTTCTGACTAAGTAGTTGGAAAATGGATGGAAGAATGAAAATGGGGCTTGTTGCTCGTTAGGGGTGGAAGACATTACCAAAGGACAGAATTGTTCTGAAAGGAATGGTGGTTTTTGGTAATGGCCAATCAAAATGGAAGTACTGGTTTTTCTGACTAGTATGAGGTTGTGATTCTCAGTGGTCTGGTGTTGATAGGATGATGAGCCCACATGCATCTTGTGTCCTTGTTATATACAGTAGCTCTTATTATAACAAAGTGATGCACATTTGGAAATCTCCCCATTCAGTGCAGGTCATGCCTCGCCCCCCCACCTCTGCACGGCTCTGCTGGTCCATTACCCAAAATGGCCCCATTTATCACGAATGCAGGCATGCTCTGCAAACGTGCAAATTAAACTATGTGCCACTCTTCTGAGAACTCAGTTCAGCTTTTTCAAAGCAACGTACAAGTGAGGAGAGCGTGCGGTCCGAGACCGGGGTCAGCCAGCATCCCTGCAGCAATTTGGATTCAGGCCCCTCTTCAGGGGCCTAACATGGATATAGTCTGCTAGCTACGGGATTAGAACCTATGACCTTCCATATACAGACATAGGGCCCTAATCCACTGAGCGACACAGCTTCCTCAGATTAAAGTTGTGGGAGTTATAGTGCTTGATAACAAAAACTTCTAAAACTGCAAACTTTATTACTTTAATTTTAACAAGCTTTAAATGATCAGTTTTACCCTTTTTATTCTGTAGCTCTAAAGAACCTTCCAGTCTTGCACCTGGCCACAGGTTTCAATGCACTGATGCGCTTGTCTGTCATAATTACTCGCTTTGCAGGATTTGTCACTGTAAGATAAAACGTTATCCTCTGGGTATGTGGTGTTCATGTACCAAGCTAAAGTACACCATATTGCCAAAACACCCTTCCAAATCATTGAATTCAGGTGTTCCTATCCCTTCCATATACCACCGGTGTATAAAATCAAGCACCTAGGCATGCAGACTGCTTCTACAAACATTTGTGAAAGAATGGGTCGCTCTCAGGAGCTCAGTGAATTCAAGTGTGGTACCACACTTGATATGATGCCACCTGTGTAATAAGTCTGTTTGTGAAATTTCCTCACTACTAAATATTCCCCAGTCAAGTGTTAGTGGTATTATAACAAAGTGGAAGCAACTGGGAACAACAGCAACTCAGCTACGAAGTGGCAGGCCACGTGAAGCGGGGACGACGCATGCTGAGGCGCACAGTGTGCAGAAGTCGCCAACTGTCTGCAGACGCAGTAGCTACAGACCTCCAAACTTCATGTGGCCTTCAGATTAGCTCAAGAAGAGTCCGTAGAGAACTTCATGGGATGGGTTTCCATGGCTGAGCAGCTGCATCCAAGCCTTACATCACCAAGTGCAATGCAAAGCGTCGGATGCAGTGGTGTAAAGCACGCTGCCACTGGACAGTAGAGCAGTGGAGACGTGTTCTCTGGAGTGACGAATCATCTCTGTCTGGCAATCCAATGGACGAGTCTGTGTTTGGCAGTTGCCAGAAGAACGGTACCTGTCTGACTGCATTGTGCCAAGTGTAAAGTTTGGTGGAGGGGGGGGGTTATGGTGTGGGGTTGTTTTTCAAGGATTGCCCCTCAGTTCCAGTGAAAGGAACTCTTAATGCTGCAGCAATTGAAGCCATTTTGGACAATTTCATGTTCCCTTGTTTTTATTTGGGGATGCCCCCTTCCTGTCCCAACATGACTGCGCACAAGTGCACAAAGCAAGGTCCTTAAGGACATGGATGAGCGAGTCTGGTGTGGAGGAACTTGACTGGCCTGCACAGAGCCCTGACTTCAACCTGATAGAACACCTTTAGGATGAATTAGAGCAGAGACTGCGAGTCAGGCCTTCTCGTCCAACATCAGTGCCTGACCTCACAGATGCTCTCCTGGAAGAATGGTCAAAAATTCCCATAAACACTCCTAAACCTTGAGGACAGCCTTCCCAGAAGTTGAAGCTGTTATAGCTCATGTGTGTGTAAAGGCAGGTGTCCCAATACTTTTGATCAACAGTCAACAGTTTGTAAGCAGATGAGACGTATGAGAAGTTGATTCTTTTTCAGCTTCTACAGCATCTTGGTCCAAAGGCCTGACTCAGTTTGCTCACAGTGCTTTTCAACCTGGTTCTTGGGGACCCACAGGCGTCCAAAGGACGGGATTGGGAAACACTGCACTCTGTCAAGAACATTTAACTGTTAGCTGTAGACTCATAACAGTCTCTCACAGCCTTATAATATGACCTAAATTAACAGTAGTGTAATACTTGTGCTTACACAATTATAAATACCCTCTTCACACTAATTCAAAAAACAACTATCGTGGCTGAAAAAAGTGGTAGCTTACGTCATGTAGTCCTGCTTGTGGTGTAATATTTCTGGTGTTTTAAGCATGGTGTCCCATAATACATTGCTTCGTTTGCCGACAGCCTCTAGCAGCATATTTGGCAGCACATGCACTCCTGCATGCTGCAATGTTTCAGGTGAAATGTACCACAGATCAGCTGCAGGACATAACCCTTCAGCTAAATAGGCACCGGATGAATACATGTAAATAGATCTATACCTCAAAATATCAATACCCCATTTAACGGTGTCCAAGTCTGCACACTATCATAAGTAGGAATAAACAGAAAATGTAACGCAGAATCTAACCGAAATTAAGTTGAATTAATCATTTATTCCATGCGACTGAATGCGAGCCCCATAGTGACAATCACAGCCGCTGGTTTATTTAACCTGCTAAATCTACAAAGCATCAGCCTAAGGAGTAACACGGCTAATCAAAAAGGGCCTTCATTTGGCGGCACAGGAACTGATCCGGTGTAATCTCGAACCTCCTCTTTTCTTCCAGGCAAATTCTCATCCTCTTCTGCTCCGCCATGCCTACAGGAGTTTCCGTTGGCTCTGTGGCTGCCGGTCAGTGCATCTCGTTTCTTTGGGTGTTTATCGATAAGCGTGCTTGAGCGTGCTTGTGTCCTAGTGTACCCGTTTTACGTCATCTTCCATTGCCGAAGACCATTTCCAATACTTAGAACAGAAGTACAGAGGACAGTGCGAATCCCCACATGTTGTTCTTACCCTCCCCCAAATATCAAGGATACATCCGCTGCATCCTCGCCAAATAAGAGCAATCCCATGATGCACTGCACCCCAAGTTTGTTCTTGGGAGGCAAGTTAGTAAGACCAGTCTCATCAAGACCATGAGCGTGATCTATATTTTTTGGTATTGAGAAACATCCTTTGTGTCTGCGTTCTCGCCTCAAACGATCTGTGACAGACCACCTCACTTATTTTTAGTTCTTACGAGCACGTTTTCATTTGAGCAGATAGACTGGAGCCTGAGATTCTGCATAATTTAATGGTAATTTTGGAGATTTGTCCATCAGCCAGGCTTTGCCACATATTTCCCTAGTGCGCCGATCTAGGCTGTAGGCAGAGTACAGATATGTTAGCATCTTTTTAGCCGCCTTAGAATTCAAAGCAGAATAACAGTGTAAAAATAGTCATTTCATCAGAACCTTTCAATATGCTTTTCACAGTGGAAGTAGTATAAGATAGCATTACAGATTACCCAGCTTAAAAGAAGCTCTTCTGCCTGTGGTTCTTAATACTTAGAGAAAGGACAGTAGGGGTCATGGTGAGATAGCCGTGTAGCCTACTACCTCACATGATGAATGCAGTGCTGAGCCGCACTGCTCTTAACTGTATCTGTCCCCACATGTGCATGCATGGAAGATCTTTCTTGGGAGGTGAGAGCCAACAATCGGCTTTTCCACAGAAAACAACGGAGGAGATCCTGTCTTTGCCTCCACAGAGGCAGATATTCTGTGAGTCTTGTGCAGCGTCGCTGTGTCCCGTCGTTACGTGAGACGGTGAAATGCCAGGTCCTTCTCGGAGCCTTGCTGTACTCCTCTGCTGACTTATAATGATGTTTTTTTTTGTTGCAGGACAATGTAATCCGCAGTTATAAATATTCCGCCCTGACCTTCCTGCCTCTCTCACTGTTTGAGCAGTTCCAGCGCATCGCCAACATTTACTTCCTGTGTATTGTGGTTTTACAGGTTTGACTTTTCCTGTACTTTTTGCCCTTTTCTTACTCTGTAGAATATTTATTCTTCTCGCTGGTATCACTGATCCCCACAACACTGCTTATTTTTTTTTTATTTTGTGAGGTTTATTTAGTAAAATGCAACAATAATCAGTCCATTACACAACCATGTGTTCCATGTTGTTTGATTTTATGCTAATGTCAATGTTAAACGTATGTTTATCGTAGAATGTCTCCTACTCCCAGTACATGAGGAATGAGCTTGTTCCAATATTAAAGTAATATATGTTACATAGAAATTTATGTCTAGCACTTGCAATACTGTTGTTAGCATACAGTGGGTGGAGAGAATAGCAGAAACACCACATGAAAAACTTTAACTTGAAGTACCTAAATCACTATTACATGTGCATGCTACAAAGGTGAGTCATATTAGGTTAGAGGCTAATTAGCAGTATGTGTCAGCTGTAAGTTTGGTATGTGAGTTTTCAAAGCAACACAGGGCAGAGTTCCAAGGAAGCCAGATTGCCTGAACTGCAGATGCATGACTCAAAACCGCAAGGTTATTTCACATCTCAAATCACAAAACACATGACAGCATGTGCCAAGCAAGCAACCTGCATCATGCTGCGGCCGCATGTCGCAGCTCATCGAGAGGGATAGATGAACAATTAGCAGGATGGCTGCAAAGCATCACCGTAGAACTAAATCAGCACCTCTGTGACCCAGTGACAACAAAACCTGTATGCCCTGAGCTTCACAAGGCTGCAATAGATGGCAGATCTGCCATTCAGAATCTGCTATATCCAAGGCCAAAGCACAAGAACGTAGAATCTGGTCTAAGGAGCACAAAACCTGGAACCCAGAGCAATGGAAGAAAGTATCAATGATCAGATGAGTCATTTTCAACCTTTCTTCTAAATCTAGATGGGTTTAAAGAAAATAAAAGGATGCCTTCAATCCACCACTTGGGCGATCGATAGTGGTATGGGAAGCCATCTTGAGGGGGTGCTTAGTTCCAGTGTTGCTCTGCATGGTCTTATAAAAGAACATGGGGCCATTTTACAGAAACAGGTGCATCCTCAAAGCCAATGTTCTTGTATTCCAAGTTGATATTGTACCCACACACAGTGCAAAACCCATTCTAAACACAACAGGATGAAGTCACACATCATCCATGGTCTCCTCATCACTGAACGTTTATGGAAAGTTCAGGGGCACGAAACACGAAGCACATTTCTCCTTTCTTGTTCCCTCGAAGAGCAGCTCCACTTGACTCGAGGACTGAAGCTGTTCTTAATGGGTAACCCAACTCCGTAGGGTGTATTTGTATTGTTTGTTTCTGTTATTTTCTCCACCCCCCCTGAATATTTGTCTCCAGAAAGACCTTAGAGAACTTACAGTACTTTCAGACATGTATGCAGTTGACATTGGGTAGTACTGTGAGGTAACTGAAAGGACAAACTTGATGGTGCTTCTTCCAGAGCATCCCCGCCATCTCCACCCTGCCCTGGTACACCACCATGATCCCTCTGCTGACTGTGCTGTCTGTGCGAGGCTTCAAAGACCTGGCCGACGACTTGGTGAGACTCCCGCTCGCCGGCGTTCCTGCTTCTTTGCAGCCTCTCCGCAGTTGACATGTTCATAAATAGCAAATGTGGAGGATGGCTGGTGGATTCTCCGGCCTCCATGAGCATGATGAAGCCTCTGTAGGGCTCCTCAGCATACCGCAGTAACCACAGCCATTTGCATGGCCCATCATGGTGCTGTATCTTTTTACATGCAAATCTTGACTCACGCTGTTGCCATAAAGGCAGCCAGTGCCATCTGTGCTCTATGTATGTGGCTTTTCTTGGTCCCCTAGGCCCGCCGACACAGTGACTCTCAAATCAACAGGCAACCATGTGACCTGTTAACCAATGAGGGGTGAGCGGAAAGTGAGAATTGGTTTATTGTGACCAATTAGTGCATTGTGTGACATTGTAAGTTTATAATAGTGCAAAGAGCTTTCTTCAACATAGAATAATATACACAATTTTGGGAAAGGTTACACTCATCTGATTGTTTGGTACCACTTCACAATAAGGCTCCCCTTTGCCACTTGTAAATGGTAGTAACTCATTAATAAAAATAAAACTGTGTTATAAGTTGTTTAAAATTGTCTATTAATTTACAAAGTGTTATAACCTAGTTAATAACCAGATTATAAAACATTCATAAATTATAAGGGTAGCCTTATTGTAAAGTGGCACCGATTTATTTTATGTTTTTAATAATTTTTTATGCTTAGTATTTTTTCTGCTTGGCGTGGCAGTGAGCAGCACTGTTACATCATGCCTCTAGGGCTGGGGGTTCGAGTCTTGTCCTTAGTTTATTGGCACAGTTCCACTGCCACTAAGAATGAAGTCATACCCAAGCCAAACCACGAAGAGACGGTTTTCTATTGTATATTGTGTGAGCTGTACCCGACCCGCACCCGACCCGACCCGTACCCGAGCTGTACCCGGGCTGACAAGGCCCTGCTTACTAGTTATCAAAATGTGACTAAACCAAGCTGGTTGCATCACCACCATCTGATTGGTCGAAATGCATGGAGACAAGAAAGAACCAGTGATCTGTGTCAGTACACATTGATTATCTGAAGGAAGAAAGGGCATATTCTATATACTATTCATTATTAGTAGTATCGCACATTGCGATAAATTTATGGATTCCCAATAACTCAGAACTTGAAATTTTCCAACCTCCCGTTTGAAAAATGACTATAGGACAGCAGAACGGAATGGATTCATAACGCAAATTTACACAGGCCAATGGTAATTTTGCATTTGAGGCTAACATAAGACGCCGATTCTCAGACGTGCTAGCAGAAAATAGCACATAAAAAATCATGATGTATACCATACGAACAGTAAATAAGCGTCTCTTCAGTTTTACGTCACTGTAGCTCTGCAAACCCAGCGACGCCTTTACAGAGCTGACCCTCTTGCAGTGGAAAACTGAAGTGAGCTGGAACCGCGCTGCATCCTCATTAGGGTCTCTTCATGGTACGGGTTGGGTCCAGCCTGGTTCTTGTATGCCAGTGGAAAAGCGCCGTGTGTGTAGAGCTTGTGTGCTCCAGTGTCCTTTAGTACAAAGGCTTGCAGTATTTTTAAATTATTGATTAGTGTGAGTGTGCCCTGCAATGGACTGGTATCCCATTCATTCCCTCTGGCCAGTATTCAATGCTGCCTAGGACAGACACCACCCTCCCCATGATCTGTACCAGATAAGTTCTTGAAAGTTGGATGGATTTTTCTTGTTAAGTGTGTAGTTGGTAAATCCGATCACATATAAAGTTCTTTTCATTTTGTGAATCTTTATTCTGAGTTCAATTAAATCCACTTCATGGGAGAGGACAGTGTATCACAGTGGTGTTTGTTTATTTCATGCATCATTCCCTATTTGCGGTACTTTTAACCCTGGGTAATTTCTCAGAAGGTTTTATATAGTACAGCAGAGAATTGGTTTTTCTTTATTTCTCCCACATATCTCAAGGCCTGGAAACATGTGTTTGGTGGCTAAGAGAGGAGTCCTCTTTCAAACACGCGGATTCAGGGCGAGGGATGCAGTCCATATGCTTTGTGTTCAGTTTGTAAGGGCTTTTGATAAGAATCTTCTGATGCCTGTACATCTCTCCCAGCTTCACTTCAGTTCAGTGGAAGGATGTGTGTGTGGGAGATGTTCTGCGGCTCCACAAAGACCAGACCGTGCCGGTGAGACTCTGGGTGGGGCAGGGAGGTGGGGATTGGGGCTCGGATGGGGAAATGACCGAGGCACTGTATCCCCTCTCCTTTGACTCTCTGCTGCCCCCGCCTGCCCAGGCTGACCTTCTCCTACTGACCACAACCGAGCCCCACAGCCTGTGCTACATAGAGACGTCCGACATCGACGGGTAGATCTCCGCCGAATCCGGACCGCTCGCTCGCCCATTTCTCTGGAAGAAGATGTGCTTCAGTCACCCTGTGGCATCTAGTAGGGAGGGTCATGCTCTCCTGGCCTGGCTGCTGGATCTTATATTTTGTGTTTTTTCAACAAGGGAGACTAACCTCAAGATCCGACAGGCGCTGGCCGTGACCCACCAAGAGTTAAGCTCGGATCCTATAGAGCCCAGTCTGCTGGCTTTTGATGGTTGGTGCAGCTTTGTTACTGAAAAATCAATTTTCCCTCCGACGAACAGGGAGCGGTTCGCCGTCTGCAATGCCCTCCTGGCTTATGCATAGGTTTTAAGTCCTTCAATCGCTCGCACTATAAAAGGGTGTAGAGCCAACGCCAGATCTGCTTATGAGTGGCTCTGGTTTCTCTGTCGCAGATGTTATGCTTTTTATAAAGCAGATGAGATGAGCGATAAGCGTGCGGATGATTGTTTTGTTTCGAAAGAGTAAAGCCGCCCACATGTTATAACACTTCTGTTCCCTTCTTCTAAGAATACTTCAGATACTTTTTCGCCCATAATAATTTTTGGTACTTTCTGTTGTCATTTCACATCCTTCCTAGCAGTATATCATTTTATACTATTTAACCTTGCAAATACTTTGTTTCAAGGCCAGTTGACTACCTTGTGCATTCATGTAGGTTCTCTATCTCTCTCCGTCTTCAAGAAACGCCGGAAGACCCAGAAATTCCTCTTTTAGCCTGATGTCTCTCGCTGTTCCCTGAATGTTATTAATGTTGCACTTCTGGTCCTTGAACAGTCTTATTTGGTTCTTGCTTTGTTAGATGTTGCTGAGTAGCTCCTGCTCTTATCCTGCTTACACTCGTACCTGGACGTTCACTGGAAGCTCAACCTAGCTGCACTTATGCCTAGTCGACTCCTCAACAGCACATATGTGTATAATGTGCTATTTGCCTCACTTATACATCACTATGGATACAAATTTCTGATAAATAAAAATAAAGGTAAATGTAGTGTAATGTTTATTAATCAAACATACTGCGGGTTAAATAAGAGAGCTAAGAATCTTTATTGTCACTGCACTAAGTAGCGAAATGTCATTTATCAGCATGAGATTTCATCTGCTTAAATTGAAGGTATAAACATTAATACTCAGCGGTCCCATGAAGCCATATTACAATTTTCTATTCAGTAGTATTAGCACTGAGTTGTTTATTCAGGCTGTAAGCGTGAAGTGATGTTCCTCTAAAGACTGTAGAGCAAACATGGGCCAGATAGAGTTAAAAATACAGTGTCTGTGTAACCCGGCAATGGATTATGGGACCAACAGTCTTTGTCCTCGCCCTCCTAGGCCAAGTCTGGTGTGAAGAGCCTAACAGCCACCTGCACTCTTTCAAGGGAGTGCTGGAATGGAGAGACATGCGGCACCTGCTGGACACTGGGCATATATTACTGCGAGGGACCGTGCTTCGCAACACCAGAGTTGCATACGGCTTGACCATATACACCGGTATGCCGGGGGTGTGGGCTGCTGCATATGTGTGTTCTGGCCACACAGCGCAGACAAGGTCTATATTAGTATTTCCTGTGAAACTTCACAAAATTATCTTCCTTGGTTTTAATGGACATAATGCATCAACAGTGTGAGCTCTTATTTAAGTCGAGCGCTCAGTTTCTCAGTATACATTTGAATATTTACTGAAGCGATTCTCAGTGCCCTGCTTAGGAGTACAACAGACCGTGCTCTATCTCCTCCAGGCTTAGACAGTAAAATCCTTCAGAACTGTGGTCAGACTGCAGTGAAAACCACGCAGGTGGAGAGGACCCTCAACAAGGTCGTGGTTGGGGTGAGGTGCTGGGACAACCAATGAGGACCGAGGGCGGGAAGGATTCCAATTGGCCTACATGTAGAGGTAGCGGCCCTTTGTGATTTGTCCACAGATCGTGCTGCTGGTGCTGCTGTTCGCACTGCTCCTGGCTGTGGGTGCTGGAATATTTGAGGCCCGTGTTGCCCCCGGCATTGAGGCGCTGGCTGAGCTGGGGGGGCGCTACACCCCTGTCTACAAAGTTTTCCTCACATTCTGGGGCTACATCATCCTGCTGAGTCCCTCCATGCCCATGTCCCTGTACATCACGTGAGTGAGAGGCAGAGGCTGGCCTGGCGTGTGTGCTAGTGTCTGCGTGTGGGTGCGGACCTTACCACCTGGGTGTAAACAGCACCAGCGTGTGTGTGGATCTTACACCCATCGGGGTGTAAACAGCACCTGCGTGTGTGTGGATCTTACACCCATCGGGGTATAAACAGCACCTGCGTGTGTGTGGACCACACCGCCCGGGTGTAAACAGCACCAGAATGTGTGGGTTTTTTGGCAGATTTCGATCAGTAAGCACATCCCTGACTGGGCATGCGTCAACTTTCACACAGTCAGACGCCGATTAAAAGTGTGAATGTTGGGGGGCGGAGGGGGTGATCTACGATGACCGTCTTTAAACGGTCTGCGAAACCACAGCGCCCCCTCACCCCGGTAACCCCCCCCTCCCTACTTCCCCCTGCAGGTTTGAGCTAGTCCACGTAATCCACAGCTTGTTTATTGGCTGGGATCTGGACCTGTATGATGGGGGAGTCGATGTGCCGGCCCACGCTCGGAGCACGACGCTCAACGAGGAGCTGGGCCAGGTGCGATACCTCCTTAGCGACAAGACGGGGACCCTCACCGAGAACCGGCTCATCTTCCGTCAGTGCTGCGTCGCCGGGGTTCTCTACGGTTTGTTAGCTGTCAGCTGCCCCCCCCACTCCTCCCCAGCTCTCTCGCAGATAATGTAACAAGGCAGTCCATCCAAATAGACGAGCCTGTTCTGCATTCTGTATTTCGGCCTTTTCTTCCTAGTGAGATTTTCACTGTGCTTTCTGTGCTGTGCATCTTCTGTAATCCTGTTTGATAAAGGCCACTATTCTTCTAATGATTTCCTTTTAAGTTTCATGAGGTTCATTCGCGTGTTTTTGTTTCCAGGAAACATGCCAGATAAGGCAAAGAAACATGATGTAAGTTTACATGTTACATATTTCAGCAGATCATTTATTATTTTTATTATTATACTTTATTGCTGCAGATGCGCGCCTGTGTGTGTGTGTGTGTGTGTGTGTGTGTGTGTGTGTGGAGTTCCGCACAATGTAATAAAGCCTGTTATTTAGAGATTGTGGGGACCATTTTTTCAGATCCCCACAAAGATCTATGAATGTAATCAAAAAACTAAAAATGTGAAAAGTCTCGGTTCTGCTTAAAGGTTAGCGCTGGGTAGGGGTTAAGGTCATCATATTGGGATTAAAGTTTTCCCCATACTAGAGGAAGTATTTTAATTAGCCTATAATTAGCTGGGAATCACTGGAAGGCTTTGCAGTTTATGACATGGCTCTTTGTGGCCAGGGCATGTGGTTGGTGCTCCTACTTGTGTGATGGATTGGCCCCATGGGGCGCGATCATGCAGAGCTCAGGGCGGAGCTCCTCCCAGCAGAGAGGCTGCTCAATATGCTTCAGTTATTAGGAAATAGTGCCCCCTACTGACTCACTAACCTTCCGGCACCTTCAGCAGCTCTTCTATAAACAAACATTCCATAACCACCTCGCATTTGGAAGTTTGACAGAGATGTAATGAAGGCTTCTTATTTTAAAACACTCTAACGTATTATTTAGCTATTATTTTTTGCAAAAAGCTAATCTAGAACAGTGTTTCCTAATCCGCTCCCCATGGAGCCCTGGACAGTCCACGTTTTTGCTTCCTCCCAGCTCTCGGTAGCGATCAGCATATCCCTTATGTTCATTATATTCGGTTAGCGGAGCACCCCATATGCTACTGTTTTGGCATATCATGGAAGCAATAAGCACTGGAATGGCAGTGAAGAATGGGACCGAATGTCTAGCATCTGGACAGATAGGTACGCCCGTTACGTAAAGCCCTGCATAAATCCATCTGTCCATTTTCTAACCACTTACCCTGCTCAGGGTCGCATAGTCAATGTATTAAGAATTGCATCACTTCCAAGATGTTACATTTCTGAATTAGTTGCGGTCTTATGGTGAAATCTAAAGTCTAATTCGTCAGCCAATAACTGCATCTTAGCACGATCTGCAGAATCCCTTGCATGACAAGATGCTTTAATCCAGTAGGGAATGCAGACATACAGGGAGGGGAGGACCGGGTTGGGAAACACTTATCTAGAATAACCATGTCCATGGTTATTCTACCATGTCCATGTCCATCTCAAGGCACTTGGACCTCATACTATATGGGCAACGTAGAGACACCAGTTTGCCTGACTGCATGTCTTTGGACAGTGGGAGGACACTCACCCCAGGGGGAAAACAGACACACTGCACGCACACGTTTAAACGATCTTTTTGTTGGGGTAAAACTATGACTTTGTGCCTTTTCAAAGGGTCATTAGCCACCTCAAAACCTCTACGAAAGTCACCCCAGTATTTGCAGGAACCATCCAATACACTCAGCCACCAGCGTACCATGTTTGTATAATTAACACCTCATCAAACCATTTCAGTTAATTAATTGAGCTGGTGGTGAGATTTAACAAATCCATGGAATGGCTGAGATGCCCCTGAGGAGAGGTTTGGGAACTGAAGAGCTGTTCATCTAGCCGTCCACGGAGATATCAGTGACTTTTTAGAGAAGTAAAGAAATTCTTATTTTTGTGTCTTATTGAGTTACTGTTCATTTGTGTGTACATTCCTGGGCAAAAATAACAGGCCAAAACCTAATTTTAAATAGTTTTATTTCTGAGCAAATATACACTTGCTACCCAGATATACCTGTAAGCATTTCACTTGACTGCCTCAGACTTTTTCACAGTGCTATATTTTTCTGAATTCATCCCTCAGCTCAATGCCATCAAACTGTTGTATTTTGTCACATAGTTTTGTATAGTGAAACTATCTTGGCAAACCTTGGCTGTTCTGTTAAAATGTTACACCGACTCGCTGCTTATTGTGTAAACGTGCGCCTTTCTTGGGAAGGGTGAATGTAGGAATGTTTCTGTGATTTCATACACTTCCAGTACAGTGCTGGGGTGCCATGCCTAGCCTTTTGTGTGGAAGATGTGGATGTACAGTGACACTTTGTGCTGACGTGGCACCTAATGGCTTGCTGTCTGATACACCAACCCCCCCCCCCCCCGCCTCCCCCCCCCCCGGGCCCCTGGCTGGCAGCCCCTGGACCTGAGCTGGAACCCCTTCTCATGTGGAGGGCTGCAATTCTCAGACAAGCGACTGGTAGATACGCTGCGGAAACCCGGCTCCCCAGATGTGCGGGAGTTCTTCAAGGCGCTGGCGCTGTGCCACACGGTCATGGCAGAGTGGAAGGATGGTGAGAGGAGCCGGGGGGCCTATATGGAGGGGTATGTCATCTTAAAGGGGAAGTGCAGGGAATTAGGGAACAGACCATGTGACGTGGTCATGTGACTCAAAGGGGACAATCATGCATATGCTGTGTCCGAATTCAGGTTCTGCATCTTTCTAAGAACTTGGTCCATGGAGGCTAAACACGTTATTTTAGCTTCAGGCTGCTTCTGACACTGTTATTCTATTGTATGATACTCAACTATTAACAGGCTTATGAATCTAATAGACAAGTGATGTTTATCAAGGTAAACCTTGCTAAGGAATCATAAAACAGTATTTTTACAATGCACAAGAAGCTGCCATCATTTTACATCAAAAGCAGTCACACTGATATGGCTGCAACGCCACCTTCTGGTCTTATGGATTTAAATTACTACTATTATACCACGAATAAGAAGGGTGTTGATTTTCTCTTACTGCACAGGTATAGCGACTATAATATTTAACTTACATTATTTCACGGAAACTATAAAAGCAAAGATATCGCTCCAAGTCATTCATACAGTGCTTCAGGACGTGGACCTGTGGTCAGCGATTAAATACGAAAATGATTCACTGACATAATGCATCTGTACTTCAGCCGTACTTTACGTCGTCTTTAACTGTAAAGACGCAAGTCCAGTTTTAAAAATTGGTAAATACAGAAGCCATGTTTTACCTATAACGCAGCTGATTAAAGTTAAATTAATAAAATAGTGATTAAATATATACATTTACTTTGCCCCTGCAGCCGTGTGTTTAAAAACCTATAATTCGTGGCTTGGAGTGCATTAACCCGCTCAGGGTTACTGCATATTGGGAGCTACACGTTCGTACATACAGACCGGTCTCTGGACTTAGAAGCAGGTGATTTGCCGCTGTCTGATTTTTTATGTGGTTCAGACTCACACTACGGTATGCGATATTCCGATGGTATTCCGGTATTCTGGAAATCTTAGCGATAAGGTGTAGCGTAGGGCAAAATGCAGTTCTGCTGAAAGCAATTACTGTGGTATACTAGGGCTAGTTATACTAGTAAATGCATTTTGCTTCGTAAACGGAGATGTTTTCAAGTACAAACGTGTAAGACAAATGTGTGGTAACCGAGGTACAGACAGGCTAATGCAGCCCAAACCATGTATTATACTTAAACACTTCAACTCAGGTGGTTCTTCGCCTCAGCGACCGTGCTTTAAAAAAAAAAAGTATTAATGCCCGGCTTGTCATGCATTAAATCTTAATTAAACGTAATTAATAGCACGCCATGAAGCAAGGTTTGTGAATAATGGTATTAAAGCTAACATTTTAGCGTAAAATGTAATAGAGCCATTTCTCCCGGGCTGTGTGTAGCCGGCGTGTCTGAGGAAGCTTCTGCCGGCGCAGGGGCTCCGGTGTACCAGGCGGCGTCCCCCGACGAGGAGACCCTGGTGGGGGCCGCCCGCGAGCTGGGATGGGTGTTTTTGTCGAGGACACGCGACTCCATGACGCTGAGCGAGCTGGGACACAGGCGACAGTATCAGCTCCTGGCGCTACTCGACTTCACCAGCCAGAGGCGCCGTATGTCAGTGCTCGGTAAGCCTGTCCAGCATCACCCCCTCCCCTAACCCCCAACCCCCAAGGCCCATTCCCTTTTCTCAAGGCCCTTACCCAGAATCCCTTTCACCTCTCATCTGACCATTCTGGCTTTAATCCAACACGCAATTAAAATGCAACATCCTGAATGCTGCAAAAGTAGCTGCAAAAACCTCAAACTTACTATCAGTTCAGAAACCAAAAGCAGTTGAAAGATAGCAGTACTTATAGGTAACTGTTATGCTATTGGCAAACACCCTGAGTCTTACACTCGTTACTCCTTTATGAATGAGAGAAAAAAACATTAAACACACACAATGATCACCATAGCAGGATGATCACGTGCTTCAGTCTCTGGCTCAGTTCAGCCTTAGGTGGTCTTGTTAATTAAATGACAGTATTTTCTGTTTCTGTATCATTGTTTATACCCTGCAGTGCGAGACCCTGAGGGGGAGCTGAAGTTGTACTGTAAGGGCGCTGACATTGTCATCCTCGAGAGGCTGAGGAAGGACAGTACGTACTGCGAGAGCACAGAAAAAGCGTTGGAAGTGAGCCTGAATATCCCTGTTGTGTGTGATGTCACTGAGCCTCTGTGCCGGTTTTTCCACCGTCCCGCTGGATCAGTCGCCTCCTCTCGCCCCCTGCATCCCGCCCCAGGTCTTCTCGCAGGGCTGCCTGAGGACGCTGTGCGTGGCGGTGCGCTCCGTGCAGGAGGGATTATGGGAAGAGTGGAGCCGTGCCCTGGAACTGGCTGCCATGACGACGGGCGCGTCGGACGACCTGTATGACAACATGGAAAGGGAGTTAACTGTAAGCTCGAAGCACCGGGGAGGCCGTTGGGGAGACGTAAACGCCGTGGGGGGGGGGGCTCGTTTAAGCATGGCACCCTGCCGCGATGCAGATTAACAGCGACACGCATCATGTTCGGCGATAGCGAGTGAGGTAGGGTAAGCTTACAACTGGAGTGGCTGTTTTCTCATGGGCAGCTGTTGGGGGTCACCGCCATCGAGGACCAGCTGCAGGTGGGGGTCCCAGAGACCATCGCCACTCTCCGGCAGGCTGGCATCAAGGTGTGGGTGCTGACGGGTGACAAGAAAGGTACCGAGCTGCCGCGGCAGACCACGCAAGTTTTTAGCTACGGCGCGGCGGCTTCACCATCCATCTCGGCTCCTCCGTCTCTCCATGTGCTTGTAGAAACCGCGGTGAACGTCGGCTTCGCCTGCAGGCTGCTGGACCCGGGCACCCGACTACTGCAAGGAGAGGAGCTGAGGTCAGGGTTGAAAACGCACGGCCGGGCACACGAATGCCGAGAGCCTGGATGACGTGCGGCGGTCTGTCATAAGAGGGGCCACCTTGCCCTCACGCTGGCTGACATTCTTATATTAAGAGCTCGCAGTAAAAGACACATTTTATATAAGGGTTGGACTGTATTATGGTGATGTGGTGTACTGCGATATTTTTGGTATATTGCAATATTTATCATAAGTCTGGGTGATAAAATGAAGTGGAGGGGCATCCCCATGACAATATTTGGCATTCGGTAAAATATATTGTGTGCAGGAAGGTAGGTTTACTTTCAACATGTGTGCAAGTGGACATTCCCAACAAAGCCTTAGAGGCCCAAGCCTGAGTTATACATCAGTTCATTTGAATTGTGCATAATGAATGATCATATCAGGCTGAAGAAACAGGTGGTTTGGCTGCTGTCCTCCTCCAGACAGCTGCTGCAAACTCCCAGCCCGGAAATCCCCCTGGACGGAGGCCATGGGAAGGGCAAAGGAGCCGGGAACAGGACAAGCGCGATGGTCATCACTGGGCCTGAACTGGTACGCTGGGAATCCTCACTGCACCACACATAATGAGGCAGGGGCCGTGATGGGCTGCCGTCACACTCGCCCTGGGGTCATGTGACCTTCCGGCATGGCTAGGGCAACCAAAGCAAACATACGACAAGCTCCACCCCCCCTCCATCTCTACAGGTGGAGTTTGAGGAGCAACCGGAGTTGGGCAAGCGCTTCATCGCCCTCTCCAGGCAGTGCCAGGCGGTGCTGTGTTGTCGGACGACACCAAGCCAGAAGGCAGGAGTGGTCCAGCTCATCAGGAAGTACACCTCGTCCATCACCATGGCGATTGGAGATGGTGCCAACGATGTAAACATGATTAAGAGTGAGTGGGATGGTGACACATGCTGGTGGCAAGTCTGATGATAAAGGCCTGTTAGGAAACATCTCTCCACTCACTCACTCACTCTTCTTACCTAGCGGCTCATATTGGTGTTGGTCTGAATGGATTGGAGGGCGGCCAGGCGGTACAGAATGCTGACTTCTCATTGGCCAAGTTCCACTTCCTGCGCAAGCTGCTGCTCGTTCACGGACGCTGGTCATACCGGCGCATCAGTGTCTTCCTGCGCTACTTCCTGTACAAGACCAGCTCCTTCGCCTTCGTGCACGTCTGGTTCGCGTTTTGTAACGGCTTCAGTGGACAGGTCAGGCGGCCTAACTAACCACGTCTAAATTCGCTGAATTACTTCATCCATCTTGTGGTCTGTCTGTCAGTCGGCAAGAGACACAGTGCCCCCTTAAGTGAAGTGTTACCACATTTTATTTCACAATACAGGACAATCCTGCATAATAGAGAATGGGTGGCAACTCATAATTAAAAATTTTATTTAATTAAGTTAGTTGAGGGCCCTTTTTAGCGGATGCCCCTGGGCTCAAGCCTGGGTAAGCCCGTGCATAAAAGTGCCCCCGTTTTTGACCTAAAAAGGGTGATGAACACTCAGGCTGGGTAGAAAAGAAGTGAACAAAGTGAAGGTGTATACCCATTTTCTTTCAGCCTATGTATGAGACCTGGTTCATCACACTCTACACCGTCCTGTACACATCCTTCCCTGTGCAGTGCCTCGCTGTGTTTGAGCAGGTAATATAACGACTGACACCAAGCAAGGAGCTTCGCCCTCGGGTTGCGGGGGACACCCGAAATTTGATCTACGCAGCCCCAATCCCGGCTTAGTGGGAGGCTAACACTAAGTACTAACCTGAACATCCGCTTGTTTCAGACAATCACGTTTCAGACAGTAAAATCCAGATGGATTCTGTTGTGTTAAGAATCTGTACAAACTACCTAATCCGTTCTCTTCGGGTCCAGTTCACATATAGTGTATATGTGCGCATGCATGTGTCAGTTGTAATATTGACATCGTGTCTGTGTTCCGTGCCTGGGCACAGTTGGCTAGAAGAGCGCACCCTGCCCAAGACCAGCTGTCTGTGCCTGGGCCTACATCTTGAAGCGGATCCGGGCACGGTTTAGCAGAACGATCAGACCAGTAAAGCGAACTGGACTTTTGGGGTCAAACGTGCTTGGGCGTGGTACAAATCGGCTAGTGTGCGTACACCCTTCGAGGTCTCCAGCACCAGCTGCTAGGTTCTGATTTACGATGGACAGCATGTGCAGTGTTTCAGGTGCCAGTTGGCCGCTAGACGCGGTTCTTAAGTGAATCTCCGTTTCTCGTGGCCTCCTGCCGCTGTCTCCTCCCCGCCCCCCTGTTTCATGCCGAGCTGCTGGCAAGCTCCCCTCTCTGTCATGGCAGGATGTGAGCGCGGAGGGCAGCCTCCGTTGGCCGTCACTGTACCAGCTGGGGGTCGGGCGGCAGCTCTTCAACCCCCGACTGCTGGCTGGGACCTTCCTCTATTCCATCTACACCTCGCTGGTCCTCTTCTTCCTCCCCCTGAGTGTCTTCTGCTTCTCGGCCATCGATTTTCAGACGTTTTCCATCACCGTGGCCACAGCGTCCGTGTTCACCAGCACGACTGAGGTCAGGGGGTCGGGGCTTGGGGCAAGATGCATGTGAAACACACTGTAGCAATGCAGTAAATAATGCATAGTAAAATACAGCGCAATAAAATGCTTAAAAATTGATCAGCTGCGCAACTAGATACCCCAGGAAAGGGCACCGTAAAAGAGGGGAACATTGGGATGATTTTAAGGGCCCCAGAATGTACCCGTGCCCAGCTATGTAGTATGCCAGGTGTACAGTACCCGTGCCCAGCTATGTAGTATGCCAGGTGTACAGTACCCGTATTATGTAGTATGCCAGGTATGCAGTACCCTTATTATGTAGTATGCCAGGTATGCAGTACCCTTATTATGTAGTATGCCAGGTATGCAGTACCCTTATTATG